AAACAGGTTTTTACAGAGCTCTACAATCACATTATTAAAGCCAACACGTATGGAAATTGAATTACTTAATATACAAAACTGTTAGCCAAACGTAAACGAAAATTTTTTTTTATTACACTTATAAATCATAATCATCGGGAAATACCCGTTACGACTTCTTAAACGTTACATGATAATTAGCGGGGGAGGGGGTGGGGTGTTAAAAATATGGTAATATGACATTCAGCATGATCTAAGCCTCGTAAAATCAGCGAATCTGTTTGACTAGCTATTGGAAAATACTATGATACTTTTTCTATTTCTATCAAAGCGTCATATCCGTTAAGGGTCGCAGGCTAATGTCGATATCAAAGTATACGAGGAACAAAAGGACATAGACGATGAAAGTTGCTTATGAGTACGTGGTGTTTGACGAATTAAACATTTTAAATTTGGTTTCAAGTGACACTACACTTTCAAAGTAGAAAAAAGTACATATACGTTAAGGGGCCTTAAGACTAAAATAAAAAATTGAATTAAATGTGTGTTTATATTCATTGGCGACGCCGGTGAGCGGCGTCGTCTCTTATGGAAATGCTTTATATTTTGGCCTATGGAAGGAGCTGTTATTATTAGCAGTTAATGTCATGTTATGTTTATTAGTTTTTTTTTATTCGTAAAAATCAAGTAAACAAATATGTTGTTATATTTGTATTTAATAACTTAAACTGGGCCTAGCCTCCAGGTCACATGTAATGGTACTGCTATAAAGTACACATCTTTTGATAGGTATGTAGGGCAAAACTTAATCTTTTTTTTGGCGTCTAATAAACTAATAAAAGTTTACTTTATGTGTGACAAGCCTTTGATAAGAATACCGAAACCAATTTTCCTTTGAAGCAGAAATATTGATGTAATAAAAAGATCAGTATCATATATATTAATATATAAACTGCCGATACATGATGATTTGAATTTACGCTTCATGAATAATTATAATATACTAGCCTAAATCTACGGTGCTCGAAATTTGCAATGTAATGGTATTAAAATGTTTACACTTCGAATTAAAATATATATGAGGTAAGGTCGAAAATTACGGAGGCTTTCTACAAGTATTGTAAGAATATGGAATACGCTAAATAGCGTTTCGTTTATAATGACCTTAATTGAACAGAAAAGTTATATATAGCATGTAAATGTTTTCGATAACAAAATTGATATCGTAGTGTTGTACAACAACTAGCAACAATATCATCATCAAAAAGGCTTAAAATTTGTACCGTTAATAAACTCTTAGTTTGTCATGATTTGGTGAAATAGACATGTACCGTTATGATACTCGTAATTTGCCCCGAAATAGTGAAAAATACAACATGCACAGTTATGATGCTCGGTGTTTGCCATGAATTGGTGAAAAATACAACATGTACCGTTATGATACGCGAAGTTTGCCATGAATTAATTAAAAATACAACATGCACAGTTATGTTACCTGGAGTTTGCAATGAATTGGTGAAAAATACAACTTGTACCGTTAAGATGCTCGGACGTTTGCCATGAATTGATGAAAATACAACATGTACCGTTATAATGCTCGGAGTTTGCCATGAATTGATAAAAAATAAAACATACACAGTTAAGATGCCCGGAGTTTCCCATGATTTGGTCAAAAATACAACATGCACAGTTTATGTTACCAAGGGTTTGCCATAAAGTGATGAAAAATACAACATGTAACGTTTTTATGCTCGGAGTTTGCTAGGAATTGGCGAAAATACAACTTTACATTTTCATCGCCTGCTATTAATCAATATGAATGCATTTAATATCACATGACATCACATGACCTTATTTGTTTAAATCCCACCCAAAATAGTAATAACATGGCTAAGCCACTTGACCGGCTTCATGGAACTTATTCCAAATTAACCAGAGTTGTGCAGGTGTCACACTTGTACAAAATCGTCACCACCATTCTCATTATCATCGTCACTTTCATCTGTGTTCTAATATTATCAATATCAAGCGGCGCTAAATAATTTTCGGAAATGCTATTGCTACATGCAGTTTTCAAAATACTGTATATAGCACCCAGAAGCGAAACACTTAAAAGAGTTACACTGTAGTATAAGAAAAGGCATGTAACCCAAATTATCGACTATCATAACATATCTAAATGTTTTGATGCAGTTTATCAATTAAAATGCACACCATTACATGCTACAGTAAATGCACTTTATTTAAAAAAGAAAAGGCATGTAACCCAAATTATCGACTATCATAACAAATTTAAATGTTTTGATGCATTTTGTCAATTGAATTGCATACAATTACATGCTACAGTATATACAGTAAACTTCACTTATAGCAAACACGGTTATAGCGAACTTCCGGTTATAAGGAACAATTTATTTGGCCCGAATTTTGCCCTTCTTTATTTAATATAAAAATATACGGTTATAGTGAACACGGTTATAAGGAATTATCGCTTATAAGGAACTCAATTCTTTGTCCCAATTTAGTTAAAAGTACAGAAAATTACACTTTTATAACGAACTCCAAAATATCGGCCATCCGTAAGTAGAACCCGCATGTTTCGTTTTCATTGGCGACCGAATGTACCGTTTATTGTTGAATGATCTTCAATACATCTATTTAAATAAATTTGTATAGAAGTACGTAATACGTTTACTATTAAGAATATTTTAAGCATGAGTTTTTTTCACCAAGAGAAAACGGTTATTCCTTTAATTCTTTTATTAATTTTTTCTTAAATAGTTTTGCTCGAGTAGAATAATTATGATAATTTATAATCAGTTTTTTAACCTAATCAGCATGCTTGCAAGCATAATCCATTGAAAACTACAAAGTATGCTTGGTTGAAATGAAAAGAAATCTATATATTTCATCAGTTAAAGCACGGATTTATATCATAAATCCGTGGTTAAAGTCACCCTTAAAATATAATAGAAGATATTCAATATGAAAGGAATGAAAAGTCGAAAAACTTTTTAATTCTTAATCATGGAAGGAAAACGAAAAGCCCAGGGTCCGTGTTTACAAATATTAAAGGATCAGGATCAAGTTCAGGATCAAATTTAAAAACTCTAATTTTCTTCATTTTTATCCTCATAGATTAAATATCTAATATCAATTTGATAAAACTGGACTTGTACTAGCAAATTAATGAAATTTTAGAATAAATTTATTGTTATTTTTACATGATACGGCTATTTTACAGTTGAACCAAATATTGATCCTGATCCTAAAATTGATCCTTATTTTGATCCGAATATTTTTGTATTTGTTTTGTTATTTGTAAAAGTAAAAGTTTGGTTTCTTTGCAAATCAGCAGTTTTTTACATTTTGAATATTTACCATTATATAATTCTAGCAAAACACGATAAATTCTAGTAAAGTAAAACAATGAAAATAAAATCAGGTTCACTTGACCCTGATCATGATCTTTTCTTTGTGAATCAAATGTTCTTCACAAAGGGGCACGATGGTAAACAATCAGTTCGTTACATGTAAATCTGTTCGCTATAAAAACTCCTTATACAAGGAACTAATTCGCTATATGCTTAGAAGGAACTTCAGATATAAGGAACAAATTTTGAATGTCCGAATGAGTACGCTATAAGCGTAGTTTACTGTACACTTTATTTCAAAATAAAAGTTTTCAGTTTTTTAACATGAACCTACACTATGAAGTGTTTATACTTTATTAGACCTCAAAAATTGGACGATGGAACTTTTTTTAAGTACTGCATTTCAATGAACAGTTGTGGAATTGTATCATAATAAAAACACGATTGTTATAAATATACGACCGTAGTAACTTTGAAGATGCTTTCACATAGACTCATGATAACTTGCATGAACAATTTGATATTTTTATAGTAAAATAAAATGAAGTGACAGAGAAAGTAATTTACACATTGCAAACGACACATACAATACACGTACATTTCCAACAGGAGGTCATCTGAAGGCATGCAGCTTTAATATGTTTATAAAAATGAGTCTCTCTTCAAACGTAAAGCAAGTGTCGTTAATAGTTATTCTTGATTTAATGATTTATTTACACATGTTTTTATTTTCGAAAAATCATTCGATACTTTTAAAAAAATTAACGTATTTGCAGCCTAAAAAGCTTTTGAATGTACTTTGAAAGCATATTCCATGATCAGTAATAAATTTCAAATATCGTTGTAAACATAATGTAAGACTATTTATTAATTCAAAACATATGTAAACATGTGTGAGTACTAAGTATTTTCACCCATTGCTCTTGAGGTTAACCTAAATACTATTAGTGGCAAATAGAAACAAAACCTAAAGAACGATTAATTCCTTTGAATTTATGGCGTTTTTTTTCTGAAAATTATAACGAAAGTGCAAGAAAGATATATTTGAACTTTTTTTAAAGCGGTGATTTCAATGAAAACAGGCATTCTTCTGAGGAACGTTATTGGCCGAGTGTTATATTGCGTTGACTTCAAATTATTTGCCCCTTACCACTCTGGTTCGAATCCCAACAAGGACTTTGGATTCTTTTCGTGAAAGAAAGCTATCCAGCTAGCATATGAAACGTCGGTGCCATTACTCAGGTGCCTGTTTATGCTAGAAATAATGTACGTAAGGGAACCTGAGGTCTTCCTCCACAAGTAAAGCAGGAAAGTCGCTATATGTCATATACTGGGTTGGTGCCTCGTAAAACACTACCAAAATAGTTTCTTCTGCTAATTTATTCTGGTGCCCAATGTTCAATTAAAGTAAAATAAATACTGTATATGCCACGTGTCCAAATTTGATGAAAAGGTTTCCCGCTATTTGATACAACCATAATGAAAAAGCGTCTTTTGCGTTAAACATTCAATTAAATCATGCTTATTTTATCAACTACTTATATATTAATAATACATTTAAGTTCGTTTGATCGATCATTGATAGATCCATTGGCTTAAATTTGTTTGGAAGTACACCATTACACAACTTCGTGATAACTAAATATATTGTTTAACCTTCATCTGCTTGTCGTTAGTTAAAAATGTAAAGTACTGCACTTAAAAGACCATGAAAAAGTTCACGATGCGTTAACAAAATCGATAGCATTTTTGAAAAACAACTTTAAATAGGTTGGCAATTACTTTTTTTAAAAGTTGCCAGACCTGTTCTCAAACGCTTGAATGATAAGAGTTGGCTCATATATATGGTGTAGCGACCCATAAACGAACGATATAGCAATATTTTCATCATAAGGACATTCTTACATAGCAAAAGGTAAATGATTGTTTTTTTGAATATATCATTTCTTGACTTAATTTTCTTAAAATGTAATTTCAGTTTCTAATTTAGTACACAAGCAGTATATATTTTTTATAGATACATTAATCAATATAAAATAATTAGGCGATGTGTGCAAGATATGTTAGATAATTTGAGATTCATTTCATTTGAGCAAAGTAACAAGATTAGAAATAAAAACATCCGAATTGATTAATAACAAAGTAACTAGAACAAAGTAACTCTGCAGCAGTATTAAATATGGCTATAAAAGAATCAAAATTATGTTACATAAATAAGAAATTGTCCGTTTTAAATTCCACAAAATGTCCTTTGTATTAAAAACAATGCATGGTTTCATTGTGGGTTTTGATATATAAAGTTCTTATTATAAACGGGGTTTTGAACCTGGTGTTTCGATTAGATGATTCAACATTCTACTGCTTTCTTTTTCTATGAACAAATTTTAATTGTAGCATATTTTATGCTTGGTCTGCTTAATATGAAATTGGGATCTATGTACATTTGAAAGACACGTCCTACGTAACATTTTTTTTCCAATTCATTTTTCATAGATAATATTCTCAAATTTCACCAGAACTGATTTGCTTTTCGTCTGTTAATGTCAAAGTCACGCATGTCCAAAATAAATAAAACTACACTAAGCACAATATCTTTAAACAAAAAGGGCAAAGAGGGCCCTGGATCGCTCACCTGAGTAATAGGTCAAAAGGTCAAAGTGGAACCCCTTTTCACCCCACAGAAACACAATTTGTAAAGAAGGGACAGCTTTATCTGAAGAATTTGAACAATAACCACTAGATGATGCTACATACCACATATCAAGGCTCTAAGCCTTGTAGATTTTGACGAGAAAATTTCTTAAGATTTCCCGAGATAATTTTATATAAAACCGATGAGGCCCCTGGCGGTCCCCTTGTGACCCTAGGGGTATAATTTGTAGAGGACCACTAGATGATGTTGATTACCAAATATCAGAGCTGTAGGCATTGTAGATTTTGACAAGAAGATTGTTTTTAAAAATTCCATAAACCTTCTATATATCTAGGCCTTATGGACTTCTTAAAGACTTCCAAACGTCACTTTATATAAAACTGGTGAGCCCCCTTTCTACGTTACTATAAGAAAGTGCTGTGTGTTATCCTATATCTCTTCATTCAGGCACTGATAATGACCAGGAACAACATCTATGTGATTTGTATCTTAATTACTATGTGATGTTCTTTAGATAGAGAAGTGTGATGTTGTATATGTATTTACCGTTTCATTTAAGAATTTATTCGTTTAAATTTACTACGAGAAGCTAATCATGTGATGTGGTGAATATATTTGATATCATATCTGGGATGTGTTTTTCATTAACAGTCATTTTATACCTCATGTAACGTCAACTGACTACTAAAAATGAAAGAAAGAAACTATTAAAATATATGTTGCAATATTGCACCTTAACGCTTCCCTCAGTTACCCGAATATACTTTAAGATTATGTTCATGCATTCAAGGTGACATTCAGTTTTAATGGTTCACAGATAACAATGATAGAACAAGTATTTTGTATGGGAACTCAATCATAACATCAAGCACGTTACCGGACTGTTACATTATGATCGTTTTTTAGGCGTTATAATCGAAAAAAAAACAGGGTGTATTGAACATAAATATATAAATATATATATGGAATCTGAACAAATATGTATTTTATATATATATCTTTCAACCTATATTCAAATAATACCTGCTTAAAATCCTGCTGAGATGTGTTTACTACTTGTGAACTACCGTTGTCAAGTTCTTGTTTAATGTAGCGCATGTAAAACATTTTTTGTCACATTTAATGATGTTTGTGATATTTAAAGCTGCATTCATGTCTTGACCTAATCTAAAGTTCCTATATCTTACATAATAGGCGGTTTTATTAATAAAAATAAATAAGTTATCCACAATGTCAAACATTAGTGCCTTCCCTGTCTAAGCACTTGTTTGTGCTTTTCGGCTCGGTGTCTCACTGGTTGCCTTTGCAGTATTTCTGGTGTTAAAGAAGATGCATTCAATAAACGTTGCTCTCCCTTGCTAAACGTCCGTTATTTTTATCTCCCTTACTGACTTTTAAACTAACTTGTATTTCTAAAATTCAAATGTTTCTTATTCAGGTGCAGACTTAAACAAAAATGAAGCAACTCATGCAATTTGTGCTCCTGTTTTGTCTTACTGGATTGGTGCTCAGCAAAAGTGTATCTAATGCGGAAAACAATGAATTATTAAAAGATACAGAACGTCTTGCACACGATCGCATACGTAGACAACAGGGCGGCTACGATTGTGGTGAGAAGAATTTTAAAGATTTAGCAGAATACATACTGTGCATTAAAACAAGGAGATAGGCAGATGAAAAAACACGACAAGATGGTATAAATAAAGAAATACGAACTACTATGTATCCGTCGTTTAACTATATCATTTTTCTAGACTGTTCAAGCAATTGAACTAAAATCTGACAAAACCGCAGTTAAAAACTTACTATATTTATCATTTCTAAATTACTATATCTTGTCATTATCTTTATCTTCTGATTAAAAATATTTATTTTGATTTGTTACTTTTTAATATCATACCATTATATTATTCCATATGAATTTATTTCGCACGAGTGCCTTTTTTCTAAAATGCCTTAAGAACTATCGGAGTACTTCAAGCAAGAATGGTTTAAGGTTAATATCCCAAGTTAAATAAATTACAAAACAATCAAATTAAATGTAAACATGATACGATGAACACCATACTAAAGATACTTCAACTTATATAACAAGTGTCTGAGATAATTGAATGTTGTAAAAACCTAAATAGAAAAAAGCAAACAAATAAAAAAAATATCCACTTTTTTCTCTAGGCATAGTTAAATAGACTATATCAGCCACTAGGTATGCAAAGCATTCATGTATCTGTTGCAAATAACAACATCATGAGCATTTAAGTTCATGAAAAAACATATTTAATGGCTGAAAGTAAGAGTACATAAGATACTATCTCTGCTATTATAAACCATGCTCATTTCTATTTGGTTTGTGTTAATTTATTTTTATCAACCTCTTTTACAAATAATGCATCAAATATAATATCATTTGAGTTAGCACAACGTTATTGTATTGAAATATTTATTCCTTCAGACTGATTTTTACCTAATCTATTTAGTAAAATAAAATAACACAATTTTGATACGTTAGAAAAGGTCCTATAGTTGACTCTCTCAAAAATTTAAAAGCAAAGCATTTACATAATTATAATTAGAAATTATCACGTTGGTGATTAACAGTTGAAAGGAAAATGTTGTACAAACCTTACACAAATATAAAATGACCAAATAACTTTCTTGTTCCATTGTCCTTTATTGATGTTTAATTTAAATTAGATATCTTTAAGTACTTAGTGACTGCAGAATGACCTTGAAGTATCTGGTAGTGCTATTCCCATTTTACGGTGATCGTTTCTCCTTATCGTCTTGAACATTGTTTCGGGCATTACTTTGTCGCTCCTTCACCCAATTTCCATTTAACTGTATGCATCATGAAATGATGCAATAAATCTACCAAATTTAGCTTTTTGTGTCCTTTAATATGTATACCAGGGTTATCGCTATATTATTACGCCAGACAATTTAAAACTACATTGCATTAAATCGGACCAAACGTGTTCAAAGAAAAAAATTGAAGAGTAGCCTATGAATATATTTTTCGAGAAAAGTTCTAAATGAATGTATGGAACACAAACCTGTCAGCGTTGTCGGTTCAAACACCACCCGGGACATTTCATTATTTTCATTATTACATGTGTTGAAGCTGTACAACTAACGGACTGAACGTCGGTGGTTTTACTCAGGGTCCAGTTCGTGCCTTAGTAAAAAAAACACGGAAAAGCACCAAAGGTTTCTCTCCACTTGTAAAGTGGAAAGCAGGTATTCTCACTACCAAAAATGTTTTCTTCTGCTAATTTATTCTGGTGCCAAATGCACAATTAAATTAATATATAGCGATAAGCCATCACCGTAAAATGGAATCGCACAAAAATCTGCTATATGTTCATTCTGCAGACTTTAATTATATGATATAAATCCAGAGTGCCGTGTAAAAGGTACTGTGTAAAAGTCACTAATTACTTATAGATGTATATTAAACATATCAAAATTAAAGTAATTATTACCGACAAATGAGAATGAAGTTCTTTGGTAATTTTATATTTTGTGAAAAGTGTGAACAACATTTTTCTTCCTACTGTTAACCAATAAATTGATTTTAATTTTCGAATTATAATTCTGTTAATTTCCTTTAATTGTAAATGTTTGAGAGTGTAAACTGCAGATCACTTTAGGTATGACTTAACAAACGTATCTAAACTTAATTAAGGTAACAGTCAGTCTCAAGATAAAAATAGATATGCCCATACAATAACCTTGTGCTAACTAAAATTATATTTTATTTTATGAATCATTGATAACATAACTATGAATGCATGAACATAATATTCGGGTTACTGGGGGAAGCGTTACGGTGCAATATTACAACATATATTTTCATAGTTTCTTTTTTTTTTCTTTTTTTTTTAAATAGTAGTAGTAATAGTAATCAGTTGACTGGAAATTAAAAATAACATGACTATTAAATAAAAGACATCCCAGATATGATAAAAAAAAGTAATTAACAACATCACATGATTAGCTTCTCGTAGTAAATGTAAACGAATAAATTCTTAAATGAAACGTTATATACATATATAGCGACACACTTCTCTATCTTAAGAACATCACATAGTAAGATACAATCAATTTGATGCTGTTCCTTGTCATTATCAGGGCCTGAATGAAGAGATATAAGATATCCCACAAGTAACGTAGACATCATTTACATTTCTTAACAGGCCCGGATTATTTTCTAATAGCTTTGCTGCTGAAGTATTTGCTTTCCATGTGCACTGATTTCAGCTCATCCATATATTTTATTCAAAATTTGTTCAAGTGTAACATTCTAAATAAATTATAAGCTAAGTAAAGGCTTTACGAATTTTGCACGGATAACTTGTTTGTTTTTAAATGGTTTTTCTGGTTGATGGCGCAAGCAATATAAAATAATGTTACATCTTTTTAAAGATATTATGTTAAGTGTTGCTAAAGAAAAAAGATCAATTAATTAAAATCAAAAAGTTCTGTTCATATCTCTTTCCTCAAGCAAAAGGTTTTATTTATTTATATTGGACATGCGTGACTTTGACACCAAACCATTATCTATGAAAAACGAATTCAAAAGAGATTGTTACATAGGACGTGTCTTTAATGTACATAGCCCCCAAATTCATAAAAAGCAGATCAAGCAAAAATAATATGTTCGATGCTAAATAAAAAATAAAAAATGTTGCTTAAGTGTTCACTAGGGTATCGCTAGACAAAATCGGTTTTGAGATCGAAAGACGCGCTTCGAAATTTTAAATTCGAAATTATTTTTCATAATACCTCTGCCATGACATTCTTACCAATCAATCAAATATAAAAAGCCTCGTCATTCAAGCGTTTGGAAACAGGTTTGACAACTTTCAAATAGATTACTGAAGTGTAAGTAGTTCACAAAAATGTAAACATTTTTGTTAACGTTATTATTTTGCGAATGGTGCATACTAAATAGCAGCCTTTATATGAAGTAATATAATACCCCGTTTACTTACGACAAAAAGGTGTAGGTTATATAATATATGTAGATATACCGAGATTATTGCATGGTGTTGTTTTCAAAAATGTTGAAGCCGATGGGCCTCCCAAAGAGCGAACTTTTAAAACTTAAATGAAATGTAAATATATAAGTAGTTTATGAAATATTAATGATTTTTTTTAGTGTTGAACACACAAAAAGTCGCCTTTTCATCATGATTGTATTTACGTTCTCCCAACGAACAACGGAAAGGCTATTTCATCAAATTGTGACACGTGACATATACAGTATAATCCCTACTTAAGACCACCCCGGAATTAAGACCGCCCCGCTAATAAGACCATTTTTTGAAAGTACGGAATTTTCTGTTCTTTATGTCAATGGTTACATAATCCAGAATTAAGACCACTTCACTTTTAAGACCACCAGATTTAGTCCCAATTCTTTGTTTTGTTCTTTATTTGACCCCACTATTGAGTCCACTGATTTAAAGTCAATACCTACCTAGATCTTAAATTTGTTGTTATGTTTTTATTATCTGTTTGAATGTTCTTAAGCATGACACTTGATTTCACAAGATGTCATAAACACCTTATATCACTGGGATATTGTATAAAATAAGGTGAGAAAGTATTAGAGTGGTTGAATGTTGCTTTAAACACATTGATTATGCGAAGAATTAATCTCTCATTTGATGGATGAATTATGTACATAATAACATTAATAATGAAATCAGACCAAATAGAATTTGATATTAAATTTCTTTCTTCCCATCAGATGTTTTAACATGCTTTTACATTGTATTTGTAGGTTAAGATACATATTGTTTGTTCTTACTATAATAGGCCATGGTCATAAATTGAGTGAATAATGATAAAAATATTCACAATTAAGACCACCCCGCAATTAAGACAACTTTGGTCCAGTTTCGAAGGTGTTGATAATTGAGGGTTTTTACTGTACAGTATTTATTTTATTTTATTTGTAAATTTGGCACCAGAATTAATTAGTAGAAGAAAACATTTTTGTAGGGTTTCACGTTGCACCAACACAGTATCGGTCATATGCCAACTTTCCAGCTTTACTGGTGGAGGAAGACCTCATGTTCCCTTACGTACATTATTTCAAGCATGAACAGGCACCTGAGTAGATCCACCGACGTATCTTTAGCAAGCTGGATAGCTTCCTCTCATGAAAGAAGGCCCTGTCGGATATCGAACCTAAAGTAGTGAGAGGATTTGGTATAAAACAAACGAAATAAAACACTCAACTTTATAAAAAAGTTAAAAAAAAAACCAACTCAAAGGAAAAAATCGTTCTTTATTTTTTTTATTTGACATTTATAGCACTTCGGTTAACCCCAAGAGCAATGGGTCAAATGACATAGTATTCACAAATGTTTGCGTATGTTTTGAAATAACAAGTAGTCAATGTAACGTAATGTATTACGCGATATATGAAATTGATAATTTATCATGGAATACGTTTTTAATGTGTTTTCAAACGTATGATATGAAATGTGAAACAAAACATGTGTAAATGAATCATTAAATCAAGAATAATTTTCAACGACATTCGCTTTACGTTTGAAGAACGACTCATTTTTAAAAACATATT